CCCCCCCCCCCGTGGATAGGCCCCCACCAGCCAGTGCCTTGCACGCCGCAGCATGTCCAGTGAGGCACCCTCCTCCGGCCCCAGGTCGCGGGCCCCGGACGGGTCCCACTTCCCCGGGCCACCCATGGCGATGGACCAATCTTCCATGGCCCCGGGCGAGGCGCCCCCCGCCGGCTTCCCTCCTCCGCAGGCCCACGGCGCCATGCCCCCCTCGGCGCACCACGTCATGCACCACTCGACACACCATGGGCCGCCGCAGGGCGTCTCCGCGGCAGCCGCCGCCGCCGCCGCCGCCCACATGGTCGGCCAGGGCTACCTGGGCGCGCCGATGGCGTCCGGCGCCATGGTCGGCACCCTGGCCGGCACCAGCCCCGGGCAGCTTCCCCCCCCGGAGCAGCTATCCTTCCAGCAGCTGTCGCTGCTGCAGTCGCAGCTCGGCCTCGCCGCCCTGACTGCCAGCTACGGATCCTACGCCGGGATGATGCCGCCCACCGCCGCCCTGGCGGCCACCTCCCTGCTGATGGGGTCGCCCTTTTCCTCGGTCGGCATGTCCACCCCCTCGCCGCATGGGTTCCTGGCCGCCGGGGCCCCGGGCGGCCCCGGTAGCCCGGTGCCCGGCATGTCCGCCCCCGGCACCGTGCTCTCCCCGGAGGCGGCCATGGTGGCCGGCGCGCAGTTTTTCCCGATCGCCGCGCTTCAGCCCCATACGTCCAGTGCGCATGCACGCTCGCGTTCTCCTCCGCCCCCCTTTTGGCCTCCCTCGCTGCCCCACCTGCACACGTACACGCACACGCACACGCACACTTGCAAATACTCATCCTCCTTCCATCTTTCTCCCCCTCGATCTCAGTGATGGGTAGTGCCCTCCCGATCAACACGAACCCCTCTCCGACCGTGTCTTCGCCTCCCCTGGCCAGTGCGCTTCCCCCTCTCTCTCCCCCTCTCCCCCATCTGATCTCCCACCCTCTGGTGGCGTGTCCGCGTCAGCTCACCCCCCCGCTCGCTCGGTGCATGGACACAGCCCTCTCGCGCCGGCCCTCAACCGCTCCAATCCCCCCACGGCCTGGTGTCCTGGCCGCGTCGCAGCTCGGCTCGACGCCGACCGAGCCACTTGGCTTCAGTGCCGAGGCCAATCCCGATGGCTCGCCCCTCGGCGACCCGCCCGGCCGCGGCGCCGGCCGCGCCACCACCAGCACCCGCCGCATCGCCTCCACCACGAACGGCTTTTACAAGGGCCCATGGCTGCCTGATGTACGACCTGCCACACCCGGCCTCCCTCCCCGGCTCGCGCACTTGCCGCGCCGGTGGTTCTCGTGCCCCCCCCCCC